GTGGTAAGTTAAAACTGGTCCATTCAGTATGAATTAAAATTGGATAAAATTATCACTGATTGTGTTGGTTTGAGACCTTTTTATAAATGGTAATCTGGTTCATATAAACCAGCTGCTATTTATTCGTTTGATTGCTATGGAAAATGAATTCTTTACTTTCAAGGCACAGTTCATCTTTTCCAGAAAAATTTATTAAATGCACCCACATTATTAAAAAAAAGTGCATTTATTAAAAAAAATTTAAAACCTGCGGATCAGTGTGTCGGGTGCAATGCACAAGCTCCTCCTGTATTGTTTACTCCCAGGTCTGTATGAAGATGCTGACATTCTGTTACGGGGCTGGAGGGATGTGACGTGAAACATCGTCAGACATGTGCACTGCGCTTTTTAAGCCCCAAAAATAACCCTATCGGCTCAGTTAACAAGCATTGGTCTGCGCTTGTACCCATTTCAAGAAGAACTCTAGGAATAATTATTAACCCTTGAAGTGAGGCTACCCCCACACTGCAATAGCTAGGGAGGGGGGCGTAGCTCCAATGCAGGGGTTAAAATACATTTCCCTGGAGTTCACCGATTACCAAGTACCGTACTCTGTACAAGTACAGATACTTTTCCAGCTCCAAGACTAGACTAGAGAAAAATTCAAAAGTTTGGAGGCCGCTGTCATTTGTAAGGAGCACACGGAGCTCCTAGGATTTGTACATCTCTGTTTTAATGTGTGATTTTGTTTTTATAAATAAAAGGGATGCACCGATACCATGTGTCAAAGTACTCAGATACAAGTACTGATTGTTTGTTGTCATGTGACAGTTTTTCTAAAACAATACAGACTAATGATTTCAGGACAGTGGTGGAGCGCCAGAGCCAGGTCCCAGCTGCAACCACTGCAACCCTGGTAGTTCTCATGAAAATGCCAAGTATCTGCACTGGTAACTGAACTGGTATCTGTGCATCCCTAGTTATTAATTAACCATAAAAGCAGTTTGTGAATGTGTCATTTGAGGTAAGTTCTCAGCGGTTGTGGCAAAGTGAATAATATTGTACATCTAAATATTCTTTTTTTTTTTCTTCTTCTTTTCTATTTAGATTATTATGGCCAAACCTGCAGGTGGTCCAAAAGCACCAGCGGGCAGAAAGGATTGGGACGATGACCAGAATGACTGAACAGCCCCCCTATTTATCTGTGCTTTTCTCTGCGCTCTCATGGACTGTCTCCCCACTGTGTTTCATGCACGGCTGCAGCTGCCCCTTTGAGATTTTGTTCACTTAAGTTAAAATACTGTACAATAAAGTCCTGACTCCTTCTACAAGTGTTTACATGACTCTTTCTTTTCTCGCATGCCCACGAAGCAAGCTGCCTGTAAATGTCTATTAGAATAAATTTATATTAATAATCCAATAAACACAAAACCAGTTTCAGAATACAACCACAGTTCACACCGAGGGTTTGGTGAGAAACATACATGGGACACAGGAATTTATGTCAGTCAGGTGTGGCCCTGTATCTACCTTCTGAGCCTCCTTATTGACCATCCTATTGCATACGATAGGGATGGTGCCACACTTGTTTACAATAAAAGCTGATTCTAATACACAATAGGGCCGACAAGCTTGTTTACACCTGACCATCACACCTTCTAGTTGTGCAAAAGTATGTGGCGGCACCTCTAAATTACCGAGTTCAGATGTTTCCAATGGAGGGTGCTATTAACTATTAAAAAAAATTGGAATTCTGATAGTGAACCAGGTCTCAGCACCTGACCACACAAATGTTGGGTTATACTGCCACCTACAGGAGGATTGTACACTGGAAAAATAATCCTAATACAGCCCAGGGTAACCTCTCCTACAACTAGCATCCCTCTGTATTTTGCTTGTGTCATGGGACAATGTTTCTCAACCTTTTTTAAGCCAAGGCACACTTTTTAAACTACGCAAAATCTCGAGGTACCCTAGTCCGCAATGGGCTTGATTGTGCTTCAACATGCAGTATCGCAATACCGTACGTTATGGTGTGATAAAAAAAAAAGTGCATGCACCAGTGTGAATGGGCCCTTTAATATATTTGAATACACCCCGCAGCAAGTGTTCAGTGATATACAGTGTAAAGGAAATACAGATTTTACTAACGTCCACGTATTGCACTACATGATAAATCATACACTAAGATTTAAATTAAGTCCCTCCCCACTTCCTCCCGAACCCCAGCATGTAAGCATACCTCGTGCTTTTTTCTCCTCCTTGGTGCCTCTGACAGATCCAGAACTATCTAACAGGCGTTGGTGGAGAACACTGCAAGAGGAGGCAGAGCAATGCAGCAGAGTACACCGAGCATGGCCATGGAACACACTGCAGGCTGCATAACTGGTCCTCTCCATCACACCGGCCTCCTCTGGCTGCCATCTTCTGCAGGCCATCCCCAAAGACTCCATTGGTTGCTAGGAAGTGAGCCGGCACCCTACTGATTCCTAACAACCAATGTCATCCATCACTAAAGACGCTGTTGGCAGCCACTGTTTAAGGCTGTGGCTGCTGACCACGTCTATAGTGACTGATGATGCCATCGGTTGCTAAGACGCAGGCTGGGATACCCACAGACTAAAAAAATGTTTGCGATGGATTTTGCCGCTGCACCCCTGGTACACTGAGGTGGCATGCTGGTTTAGAATCACTATCCTAGGTGACAGGTGAATTTTCTTCAGCTCTGCTGGGAAAAGTAAACTATTTTGCAGCCAGCTTTTGTTTTTTCCTAAGTTGGCCTCTGCAATGGCAGCTATGTAATGTAGGTCTATACACTCTCTGGGCTTTCTGTGCTACAACTGATTCCTTGCTGGGAGCATCAGGGTCTAGTCGTAGACTCATCTCAGGTCAGAGTGTCTCTTCCCCAGGTGACATTTCAAACTCGGCTCCCAGACTCGTGTTCTTCAGTCCAGATGTCCGTCTGCTTTTGCATGAGCTTTGTGGGTCTGATGTTGGCCTCCTTGGAGGCAATCCCTTATGACCAGCTTCACTCCACACCCCTAGAACACAACATTCTGTCACTGCGGGACTAGACAGTCCAGCCCCTGAATAGACCATTTCCTTGGGTGCCAGGGACCAGGCTGTCCCTGCCTTGGTGGCTCAGGAACCTGGCTTTGCAGTTGAAGTCCTTGCCATCTTTTGGAATATCCTCACCAGCCTGTAGGGCTGCAGAGGAGTTACTGGGAGCCCTCTTGCTGCAGGGGACTTAGACTTCAAAGGAATCTTGTTTCCCGATTAACATCCTGGAGCTTTGCAAGAATTGCTGCAGAGCTGGACTGTCCTGCTCAAGGGTCATCTAGTTTCAGTCAACAACAGCGTACCTTTAGGGAGGAACCAGGAGACTTGCTGTGGCAAGAAGAGTGAATCCTGTCCTTGGCAGAATTGCATGTTCCAGTCTTGTCCACCGTGGGCAATTGGCAGGCAGAATTCCTCATTTGGCAGGGGGTTAGAAACCCTGTGCGGGTTTTTACTGCCGCCTGTATCCTTGCTGGAGTGCGTCCTCACTTCCTATTTTGTCACCAGCACAAGAAGGGGAAATAATTTGTCTCCGTTGGGGACACACATAACAGCAATGTTATTAGTAGAGTGGGAAAGGGTTGAAGCCTGCCTGGTATTTGTTGTTGTGATGACCTCATCATTGTGGTGATTCTTCATTGTCCAAACAGCAGGCTAAGAGCTTGGTCAGTGACCAATCTGTATAGCTCGAAGAAAACCTGTACTGGAGCCAAAGAGCGTCACAAGGGGGGTGCGGCCCGCACCCGGGTGACACCAAAATGACTGACAGTAGGGATGCGCCCCCTCTAAAAAGTCGGGCACTTGGTCATGGACCAAGAGCCTGAAAGTGTCAGGAGAGAGGAGAGGACCCGGTGGCATACCTCATCCCGCCGGGTGAACGTCCCCTCCTCTCTCTGCCGGCGTCCATCACCAAGATGGCCGCGCATGCGCCATGACGGGGTGTCACCCGGTCTCCGGTCCGGGTAACACCCAGTATCGGGACACCCCTTAATCTGAGCATACAATCTCTTTACAAGAGCTTCTATAAATCAGATGGTATAGTGATCCTATGTATTCATTGTGTATGTAGCTATTCCTGGAGTTCATCTTTAACCATCATGGTACCACTGATGAATCCAGTATTGAAGTGTGGATGGGGGTCTCCCCTCTGAACAGGACCAGATGCATTTTTCCATTTGCGGTAGAATAGGAAGGAAATGCTTTGTATTTATGTAGCAGAATTGACATGCATGGTATAACTGAGCACTCTACTTCCTTTATCTTCCTGACTGCAAAGTTAATGATCGAGAAGTCTTGTTTGTACTCATGATTGCATATCATTTATTGCATATGTAAAGATGTACAAGTATCAGGGCTGGTAATAAAGAGGCATCTGAAATGGTCCCTCAAAATAAAATAGCTATGCTTGTGCTTGTATATACATATTTCACACACTCTCTCCAAAATTATAGGCAAATCACTGAAGTGCACCTGTCTGCCTACAATGGACGCAGCCAGTTTTGCAGGTTGGGTCTGTACTGGGTTTATGGGGTCCGCCAGAGTCCTGTGACAGCAGCAAGCAATGAAGACAGGTTCAGACACATGATGGCTGCCTCCACTGTAGAATGCTGAGGGTGCATTTTAAAGTGCATCTGTCCTTTAGCAGCAGACAGGAAGCTTTGTAAGAAGATAGCATTGTAGATGGCTAATGTTTTTTTACAATCATGGTGCATTAGACATAAGTAAAGTGACACTAAACTCAGGAGTTATATCTTAGAAATACATTCAGTCTACTTTACAACACACACAGGGATCATGGGGGACAGAAGTAGCCACCCTCCAGAAGGAAGGACAGTGTCAGCACCAATTCAAAGATGATTTGAGGATTTACAGCCGAGTGATACACAAATAAGAGACATTTTTCTTAATAGTTGAGGTACTTCAATGCATTAAGGTTTAACTCCTGAGTTTACCGTCACTTTAAAATGTGTTCCTGTAGCTTCAACAGGGACAAACAATGGTGTGTCTGCCTTTCTCTACTTTATTTCTGTACAGCTCAAAATGACAGGTGCACTTGGCGAGTTTAATTACAATAAATATTCCTTGGCAATAGAGATTTTGGCAGATACATCTGCATGTATTACAGTATCCTCTCATAAAACAGGAGGTAGGCCTGTGAGTTCAGCACTTTGTTCAGTGGTACCGCTTGTACGTGGCTGTCGCTGATGTGGAACCAATGACCCTTCGTAGACTCTGTACTTGGCACTGCAAATGAGGAAAAGATAAATGAATGCTTATACTTATTTACTGCTGGGTTCATCTTCCGGACTACCCACATGTTATCTTACCTTCAGGAAGTACTCCCTGAAGTACAAGGTTGCACAGGCGAGGATTGGGAGTTCGAGATTTCACATAGGCGGTGTAGTGTCCGGAGCGCATGGTCCCGCTGTGTTCAATCACACCATACAAAGAGTACAGCAGTCTGTCCTCTCCCTCAGAGATACTCTGGAAGAAACATTCCGGTACTCTCAGCCTACCATATTAACAATTTGAAAACAACCATTTTCTTGCAGTCCACAGAGGGACACAGGAAGCCCTTAATAAAGAACTCCGGGCAAAACTTTTCTTAACCCTTTGTGGCAATCCCACTGTAGAATTGGGTGTTCTGATCACCTGGGACTCTCAGCCAGACGGGCTGAGACGTGTCAGGAAGCAAGGGATTGTCGGGATTACATTTGGGATCCTGGAACTGGGAGGCTTCAGGGGGATTCTGGAGGGAAGATGAGATCCCCAGGCCTAGATCCAGGCTTTAGCAGTGGCCAGCACCCGATGATTGCACAGGTGTGCACAACCCTTAAGGAAAGGATGCTGGCTAGGGGAATTGGCTCCTGCTGGGAAAGGGGAACAGACCGTGTTCAGGTGTCAGGAGAACACCCCCAGGAGTCAGAGAGGAGTCAGGCGAGCTCCTACTGGGATAGGAACGGACGGTGTTCAGGAGTCAGGAGGACTTCCCTAGAATCTAAAGTGGGGTCAGGTGGTGAGTGTGCTGGAGGCACACTAAAAGGTGGCCATACACTTTACAACCATCGCAAGACTTTTGTCTTGCAAGGGTTGTAAAGTACTTTAAAAAACGTACGATCTGCCCATCTTGGACAGGCAGATCGTACTTGCGATCATCGCAAGCCCACCCCCCTGAGGGGCGGGCTTACAATTACTTTAATGAGGGGCGGGCTTACGATGACTGCAAACGGGCAGTGTGTGCGTGCGCACACCGGCCCGTTCGGCAGTTGTCGAACCAGCAGGCCACTGACTCTCCGAGAATCGTATGATTCCCGGCGGGTTTTCTAGCATGCTGGTTCGATGGAAGACGTGCGACCGTACAGTAGAAACGGTCGCACGCCTTCAATACACTGCATGATTTTTCTCGTACGAGAATCGTGCAGTGTATGGGCACCTTAAGACAGCCAGGGAGGCTGGGAGAGAACTGGTGAGGCTAGGAGAGCCGTGAGCCTGAGGGGCCACCAGTACAAGTGTGGGACAGCACCTCAAAGAGGACCAGTGGGTCAGAAGTGCCAACGTTTAAAGTGGAAGCCAGGAGGCTATTCTTGTGTTTGTTTTGAAGCCTTACATGAAAGTTATGCTGAACAACCCCTGCGAGGGTATCCAAGATGGATGTGTGAACTTAGTTTATGAATAAAAGTGGGCTACCAAGCCTTTAAACCGAAGATATTGCGAGTAGACTGCATTCTTAAGCGCTCACCACATGTGCTAATATCCCCGAACATCACACCTTGCAGTAGGGCTACCCCCGCACTACAAGGGTTAACTGCTCATTTTCATCTAGCTGCTAAAATAAAAAAAAGTTATACTCACCCGATCCTTGGAGACAGCTTGCTCTTAGACCAGTCCTTCGATCCTCGCTCCCCCTGCACTGCAGCGGTCTAAGGATCCTCGAGAAATCACTTTCTATACACTGTGTATTGGACATGAGGACGCTGAGGGACATACATCGCATGGTGTAGGAGGAGACCGGCTGGAGGGAGTGTTGTGACAGCCGGCCGGCTCCAAAGTTCAGGTGAGTATAACTTTTTTTATTTTAGCACCTAGACGAAAATGAGCAGTTAACCCTTGCAGTGCAGGGCTAGACCGACTGCAAGAGTTAAGAAAAGGCGCTTACACATGCTCATATTCAAGGGCCCAACTGATAAGCGGTTGGAAGCCCTTTCTAGAGCTCTTTTCTTGCTTGCTGGTCCCTGTCCTTGACCCGATGCCGCATGTGAATTTCTGAAACCATGTCTGACGGCTCTAAATGCCTTATAAAATATCTAACCACTGCTGGGGAACTTTGCTTATTGAATATGTGGAGCAGATGGCTGTAGAGTTACATTTCATCTGTGGTGGTTTGCAGGAGATATGCTGCAGTAGAGTATTAGAGACTTGGAGTATGTTACATAAGACTGCTACTGACCACACTGCTATTACAACCCATTTACAAATCAATGCTCCCACTACTGGCTGCTGGGGCATGAGGGCCCGCAGCATAAGCACCAATGGGCCGCATGGGTCCTTCAGGCTGCAGCTAAGGCACCAAGGCTACATGGCCATGGCACAAATCCTTCCAATGTCATGATAAAGAAATGGATTCCTTCTGCTGCCACAACAAGGTCTGGAGTGGCCGATTTCTTCCATTGCCAGGACAATGGAGGTTGTAGCTATCCCTCTGCCACCATGGCAAGAAGGTTGTTTCTGAATTACCTGTTGCCATATCACTGAGGCCATTGCCATGGCAATGGGGCAAATCCTCTAAACCCCTTGGGGGATCGGGAGGGTTGCTAGTATCTCTGTGGCAAGCAGCGTATTATGCTGCTGCCAAAGCAATAGGCCTGATACCTCCTTTATAAATCAGCAATGATGCCACTGGGACATTTGGGTGGATCCCTATTGCTAGAGCAGTAGAAACCTAGATTGGTTTTCAAATCCTCTGTTACAATGAAAACAGTGGAGCAGTCAATCTCTTCATTGCCATGATAAGTTGGGGACTATGCTTGTTGCCGTGGCAAAAACATACAGTAGTAACAGATTCCTATGGCAATAGGTGGCCACCTCATTAAAGGGGCGCATCCCTTTAATGCCACAGCAAAAGGATCTGTGGCTGATCGTGAATGGCACACATATTATAAATGATTGTAAATTCTACAAACTGACTATACCAGCTTTAAAATGTGAGTACCATATCTGACCAGTAAGTAGCCATCCTAATAGCAGTGTCATTGGAATGAACTCAGGGGATACCCATATTGCAGCCATTGCTACTGACCTTGCATTTTACCGTACTGAAGGGAGCCAGGTCAATGACTTCTGGAAACTTGATGTGTTTATTTATCTTGTGAAGATTAAATCCGTTCTAGAGATTGAAAGAAAAGAAAATACCACTGAATGTAGTTTCAAAGCAAATAAAAATCAGACAGTAAGGTGGTCTAAATCGTACAATGCTATTGATGCTGGGTCGAGGTAAAATATCAAAATAACCATTTGTTAAAAGAGGAACTTCACCCTTATATTTGAAAATGACAACAAAGACACCTTTAGAAATGTTTAGTAATGAATCTACAAACACATACTTCTAGATAATTGTAGTTTTTTTAATTCGTTGCATACCTTATTTTTTTTTTCTTCCCCAGTCTTCTGACAGTGGCCATTTTAACTAAGGGCAGGTTACTAGATCTCCCTTTACTTCCTGGAACTCTGGCACATGTGACTAGGACATGTGACCATGCACATCATCACCTGACCGCCTTTCCCCGAGATCTCACATGAGATTTCCCAGCAATGCTCTGCTGATGTCAGCTTCCCAGGATGTAACACTTAGGCCAATTACATCACTAATGCCCAAGAGAACCAGGAAGTGGAAAAACAATAATTGTAAGTAAAATAAAAAGATGTTTGTTTAATGAATGTAAGATGATTTCATAAGAAAGGTGGAGGGAGGTGGGATGGGCCTTTTTTTTATTTTTTTTTACAAATAAATAATTTTAGAAAGTACCCGTTATCACTCTAACAGTAAACAGCAGTCAGAATCTCAGTCATTGACTAACACGGTAGTGAAGCCAGGATGATGATGATAATGATGATGGCAGCTTCTATACTAATATCTGAACATTACAGGTTTTCATCTTTAAGTCAGTGCCAAAAGGGAAAAAAAAAACAGTGCAAAGTTTTCCCTCCTGTTTAATTAGCCAAATACTGCTTGCTAACGTGATTTGCTGAAAACCCTGAATACATGCATCTGATATGCTCCCCTTGAACAGGGTTCCTACAGGCAGGTACCTAGATTGCCTGAATGGTAAGAAATACCTTTTCAAAAATGAATTTACAGGTGCAGGAAAAGTAAATAATTCACAGCTTGTACTAGGTGTATCAAAGAAAAATGCATTGAAGTACCAGAACTATTAACAAAATGTATTGTATTTGTGTATCACTCATCTGTAGATCTTCAAATCACCTCTGAATCGATGCTGACACTGTCCTTCCTTCTGGAGGGTGACTACTTTTGTTCCCCATGGTCCCTGTGTGTGTTGGAAAGTAGTCACTGCTCCAAGCTCGCTCCCGTGATGGACTACAATCTCAATACAAATTAGTAAACTAAACGTGAGATTGTAGTCCATCACTGGAGCGAGCTTGGGGTGGTGACTACTTTACAACACACAGGGACCATGGGGGACAAAAGTAGTCACCCTCCAGAAGGAAGGACAGTGTCGGCACCAATTCAGAGATGATTTAAAGATCTACAGCTGAGTGATACACAAATAAGATTCATTTTTGCTAATAGTTAAGGTACTTAAGTTTAGTGTCACTTTAAAATGTGTTCCTTTAGCTTCAACAGGGACAAACAATGGTCTGTCTACCTTTCTCTACTTTATTTCTGTACAGCTCTAAATGACTCAGAAGTTAAATCTTGAAAATACATTCAAGTCCCTGAACTATTAACAAAAATGTATCTTATTTGTGTATCACTCAGCTGTAGATCTTTAAATCATCTCTGAATTGGTGCTGACACTGTCCTTCCTTCTGGAAGGTGGATACTCTTGTTCCCCATGGTCCTTGTGTGTGTTGTAACGTAGTCACCGGTCCAAGCTCACTCCTGTGAGAGACTACAATCTCAATACAAATTAGTAAACTAAACGTGAGATTGTAGTCCATCACAGGAGTGAGCTTGGACCGGTGACTACGTTACAACACACACAAGGACCATGGGGAACAAGAGTATCCACCTTCCAGAAGGAAGGACAGTGTCAGCACCAATTCAGAGATGATTTGAGGATCTACAGCCGAACGATACACAAATAAGATAAATTTTTGTGAATAGTTAAGGTACCTGAATGTATTTTGAAAGTTTAATTCCTGAGTTTCGTGTCACTTTAAAATCCTGTAATGAGGATGCCGGAGAAAACATACCTGCTGAAATCTCTTTAAATGGAGGGTCAGGATAGGAGGCGGTGCGGAGACCAACATTTGTTTCTTGGCGTTAGTGTACACAAACTTCTTCTCTACTGAGACAAGACAGAAATTAATTCCACAACTATGGACGCCTACAGCTACATCAGTAATTTTATACCAAATACATTTTTATTGAAAGAATATTTCAAGTTTACAAACAGAATACAAAGTCAGCAACAACAGATGGACACAAATCATTGATTTTGACACTACTATGAAAGTTCCCTATCTAATGGATGTCATTATTTCAGTAACAAGTGTCACACTGGTGGGCTGAATCCCCATAGCCGCCCCCCGGATTTAGCATGTCTTGAGGAGTCCAGTAACAAGTATCCGTATGTACAACTTCTACCTTTTTAGAATGGTCCACAACACAACAAATCCAAGACAACCCCCTGTAATGGACAGCAGATGGATGCTCCCCAATCTACCAATAATTTCCGTGGCAGCTGGCACTCTCCTCTGCTGTCCAAATTTCCTGGGATGTCAAGTGTGGTATGGTAAGTATTTCACCTTATTTCATCCCCCTAGAGTAGTCAACCCTTGCAGTGAAGAGGACGACCAAGTGCAAGGGTAACCTCAGCTTTAAAAGGGAACCTGTCATGCAAATTTGAAAGAAAAGCCCAAACTCCTCCACATGCAGTATGTCTATGGTCCATGTAACCAAATAAAAGAGCTCACAGCTGCAGACACTAGCACAGCCTACATAACATCTTACAAGCTCAAACACATCTTTTTGACCTCTACTAAAAATCCTAACATCAGATATGTGTAATATATGCACTCTCAGCATTACCTACCTTTATTGTTGTGCTTTATGGTCTTAGCCTGCCTCTGTGTACATGTATTACACAGCAATTGGTTGTTGCCCACCAGGTCCTCCTTGCGGGTAAACTGATAGAGACAACTGAGGACCGACAACTCGTCTAGCTGAAGCTCCCTGCGGTCAGTGAGGGTGCAAAAGGCAGTGCTGGGGTCTTGGTTCACCACTTCATAGATCTGTGCTGGGGGCGCTTCATCTATAATTTGGATCTCAATGTCATTGGGTTCAAGGTCTGAGCTCAGATTTATCCTTTCTGGGTCGGAACTCAAATTAAGTCTGTTTAGGTTTTCAGTTAGCTGGCTATCCACTGGATCGTGGTCTGCCTGAGGACTCTGTGACCTCTCCTCTTCCATCTCATCACTATCTATGTTGCCCTGATTGTCATCTCCGTTTTCCAGAACTGCACTGACTTCACTGCTGGGATGATCCTCATTTTCCAGACTAAGCTCAATCTGATGTAGACTTCTCTGACCCAGATCGTGACTATTTTCCTGATCTTCAGTCGCAGAATTATGTTGACTTTCAAGACTTTTAGAGCTGGCCTCAGCATTATTTGCCATGTCTGTTTGACTTGGTTCTTTGTTTTCCAAATGTCCCAGATCTTCTTTCTTTTCCATATCTACATCACTGGTTATACTGGAACACTGTCCGTCAGCTGGGGTCATATCTTGCTGCTCACAGTTGTTATCCAGTACATTGTTATTGTCGGGGATAAAGCCTTCATCGTCATTACTGCTCACATTTGGGTCATTCAGCGGCAGGGTCTTATCCTGCATCTTCTGCTGTCGCCGCTGACTCTGTGGAATGGTGACAGATTTGAATCAAAAGGTATTAGCATAGCTGATATAGGAATAGAATAAGATAACATATCCACAGAATGCATGGTCAGTATTATTGTAAAAAAGCAAGTTTCTAACTGTCACACCGACACCTACTGCCCCTGAAGAGAACAATCATCTTGTCCATGCATGGCAAAGTGATAGAATCTTTGCAAAGGGTCCTCTGACCCCTTATACTTAAACTTGCTTGCACTCCCATGCTGCTCCTTGCTCTGCCACAGCTAGCAAGAACACTTGGCACGCTATAGGAAAGCATGTTATCTGCTCCTCTGACAATGCCCGGGCCTACAGCCAAACACTATCCCTGAGCACTGTCACACGACTGAGGGAGTGATGGCAGCACTCCCCCGGGTCACAGCCCAGCAGATATTAGCGTTAGCTGTGGCAGAGGAAGGTCAACGTGTCTTTTTGGTATTACCTGCTGGTTCTACCTTCAATATTTTAAGTTGAATCTATGGTTACTGTAAGACTACTACACCATCAACAGACAGGAAAAGTAGGCACCAAGAGTGGCCGGCACATTGTTTCACACTCCTTGCAGTGCAACCTCTGAAACCTGGAGATCATTTTATGCAAAGGCCAACTTCAGCTTCTGAACTAAGGCTCAAAGATGCCCCCTCTCATTGTTCACTGTAGGTCTTTAACTACTAACCACAGGAGCTAAACACAACTTGATCAGACAATGTTGTTTGTGCATTTGAGTCGCCTGCCCTGTGAGCGACAACATCTTTTTGGATCTACACTTGATATCATTATCAAGGAAGCTGCTGGAGGCAAGAACATGTATCTCCCTAAGCAAAAGTAGCCTAAGGAACAGCATGGAAAGTCTTCTCCATCTTTTTCTGTTCAGAAACATCCCTTTTGTTTCTCCATCCTTGCACCCACCATGTTGAGACTCCCCAAGCTTGGTCCCCCTTAACACCTGCAAGGACTGGGGCTTAAAGTCCTCAGCATAAAGGTGCACGTCCACTTTCCAGAGTGGGAGAATGTTTGCTAACCTTTGCAGACACTTGGACAGCTTGCATTTCAGATGCTTGTGTGCAGGAGGTAGTATCCGAGGCTACAGACTGAATTATGATCTTTGTACTGATTTGCTACAGCAGCAGTACAACCTGAAGGTGAAAGACTTCCTGTGTCACTCAGACTCCAAGAAAAGGATTCTACAGTATAAAAATGATATTTCTTTATGGAACCACTAGCACTAGTTCTAAACTTTACTTTATCTTTCATTGTACTTTTTCTTTTTGGAATTTTGCTTTAAGAGGACAATTGTCATTAATGACTGACCTTGGCTTGTTTTTTGGCTTGCTTTTTTGCTTTCTTTTGAAGGTGCTTACTCGGCCCTGACGGAACATCATGCCGGTCTTTTACATAGCTGTCATTATCACTTTCCCCTTCATTCTTTTTTTCTTGGACTGCTTTTGCTGATTTTGCAGTATTTTTCTTGGCAGGCTGAAATAAAAGCACATTACAATCATAATATGTACACAGCCTTATAGGACAAGTTAGACATCCCCATCCAATAATGGACAGGCTGGTATTTTTCTTTTAGCAGATGCAAACTGTTGTATGAAAAACACCTTTCATCACAACTAGTTATCTTCTCTCAAAAAGTGATGATTTTCTATGTTATAGAGAACATTGAGAAATGTCAACACTCCGAGTGACCTTTCTTCTTACAGATTTGTTCTCAGCAGATGTTCAGCAAGGAAGATCACTTCACTCTGTCACAGATCATGGCAAAAGTCACTTAATATCTGTATTCAGCATACAATTGCCTATAGCAAACCTTTTCATTTATACAAAAGTGCAGGTACTAAATGTAAACATATTAAAATGCCTTCTTACCGTGTCATCCAGGACAGGAAGTGAAAGATCAAGAAAAGGCTCATGGACTAAAGACACCTTAAAAGAGGAAACAAAGAACAAACATTAATAACTGAAGAACTTGTGATAGGACATTCACAGAAAGACCCAAAGTTGCTATGTGCGGTCACTGCAGATCAGAGCAGAAGTGCTAGGTCGAGGAGCACTGTGGCCTCTCGGCAGAGAAGGAGACTCTACACAAAGTCAGGATACAGTCCGTGTACCCATCGCACTCAGAACCGCTGCTCCATCAGATAAGAGGTGGGTGCAAAAGGTGGCTTCCGTCAAAGTATACAAGTGAAAAGATGGACACCGGCACTCAAAGGCAAATCCAGCAGGTCAATTTATTCACGTACTTGTTGCATATTGAAGCACTAAATACAAAATGTCGCCTGGTGTTTGCCTGATGGAGGGGATCCTGTGAGACCCCGAAACGTTGTATTTAGTGTTTGAATATGCAACAAGTATGTGAACAAATAGACGTACAGGATTTGCCTTGGAGTGCCGGTGTATATCTTTTCACTTCTACACAAAGTCAGTCTGGAGTACATACTAGTTATATACACCTTGTGCCAAGAGCCTCGTACAGAAATACAACACTGTAGATAATAATTCCATATGGATGTGCCCTGTAAAGTGGACCATTTGTTAAATAAAATGCAACCCTAAGACTGTTGAGCATCAACACTGCAGAACAAGTATACATTAAAATTCCAATTTACTCTCTTTAGAGAGAACCAGTCAACCACTAAAGTCATTACTGACAAGTAGTGACTTGCGTTCCCATGTGGCCGATCGCATTGCGGCCGGAGGGGGTTGCTACGCTGCCATTCACTTTAATGGCCCACCACGCCCCCTCCTGCCCCACAAAAAAGTGAGCTGGCTGCAATTTGGGGCAGTGCGTTCTGGCTAGAATCGGGCCGGAACACACTGCATCTGGTGTGAACGGCCCCTGAATGTCTCATCTGCAATAAAAGCTCCTCTTCTGTCTGCCAACAATGTTTTTAGTGAATGAGCAGCTCAGAGTTCATTCCTGGCACGCTTTGCTGCCGGGATGAACAAACTCCAAAGCGCATGTGCATAAGTTACATTATCCCAGGCCAGCATATCAAGATGGCCAAGGGCGCAAAACCTGGAAGAAGAACAGCAGAACATGTCAGCAAAGGCAGTGGTATGACAAAGGAAATCCCAACAGTTTCAGTGCTGGAGGGGTCCCTTTTGCAGGCAAGTCTGTCATAATGTACGAATATGCTGTGCTTACTTGCACTTTATGGCTGATGTAAACCGATAACAATGCATATTTAGTTCCCCTTAAATACTTTTCAAATTGAAAGGCCTTATGCAAGAGCAGCCAGCACAGAGTTTGCCTTTGTAAGCCAGAAAAAGGTCCACTGTGTGCCTCACTGAAACAGTTTTCACTTTGTCAATGAAGAATTGATATCTCAGACTTGCTAAGCCATGCCAACTCTCATCCCGCAGTCCAAAAAAACAGCATCCTGATTGGCCACTGAGACATCCCCGTTTAACTGGTTATGGCAGCTGGCAGGGCTATGCCAAAACATTAGTGACAAAAGGTCAATGGTATACAAGTCATACAAGACCTATACAAGTTTAAAAATGGATGACAGGTTTGCTTTAAGGAGATCTTCTCAGCAAAATCTATACTGAATACACATTTTAAAAAGGGAAAAAGTAAACATACTGTGTGGCAGGTCTCACACATTATTGTACTTGTCATCTCTCCTCCAAATACGCGGTCAACAAAGTTGGGGATAACTCGTCTTTTTTCACAGTCTAATAAAGAGAAAGAGAGAATTAATGTCACCCCATTTATGTCTAGTAGAAGTTAGTCACATCCAGCTGGACTTGTCCTGTAAAGTTAAAGGCGTTAGTTAGAAACTACTACTAGCTTTACCATGACCTGGATGATTGAGAACCTTCACAGACACACCTACTGTGGTTTTCCTTACACATTAAACTGTAAATGCCCCCCATACAAGGGTTAGCCCACCCAAAACTTTTGTTCAGTTTCTGGTAGTTGCTGAAGAGTTGGCAGTTTCTATCTGGAAATTAGTTTGTGAGATCCCTGCAAGTGAGTTCCTGAGTCTTCACATGATAAACTCCCCTGACCATGCTGGATTTATATCTATTTTATATGATGGAGAATACAACTAGAGGTTTTGGAGCATGCAAAGGTGAGGGGGGAACACCCAAAACTCTCAATACACAGGAACAGAGCGGGGAATTATGTCAGGTAGAGCCCAGTTTTGGAGTAGCCATAGACAAATAGCCCAGGAATGGACTCAATCTACCAGGTTCCACATATATTGGATCTGCCAACCCTAACTGTGCAAAAAGTTAGGGTGAGGTGGGATTTGGGTCCATTTGTATAAATGTTGCCGCATGGCAAAGCAATGCTAAGGAGCATTTATATAATAAACAGGTTTAGTACAATGTTACAGCACGAGTCATAAATTCTTCCCTCAGCTGCTCTAAAGTAGCCCTGCAACATGTTAAAACCTGACCCCGACCACTTCTTAATTATGCGTCTGTTTAAAGTAAAAATCTGTCACGTCTTCATTAATAAATCCGTCTCAAAACTTTGCAAAATGTCACACTTGGCTGCCCAGAAATACCGATGCATGGGACTAAACCTGATGCATGCGCTTTGCTGAAGAAGAGGCAGCTTGATTTGTGACTAAATTAACGCGTTTGAAGAGTGCTAAAATATTCTGCAAAGATATCGGTCTGTAACTGGAAAATAAGGAACTTGAAAGAAACCCACAAATTAGTTCCGAGTTATCAAGCAACAACATTAATGGGCGCAATCGTCGTTTTCGCAGGTATGCGCACCTGACGCATGTTTACATGCGTGTATGTAGGGGTGGGGACTTTTAAAAAAATTTTTGTTTTTTTAAATTCTTTTTTGTGTAACATTAAACATTTTTTGGGGGAAACTTAATTTTTTTACTATTTTTTTTCACTTAACTTTATTGCTTATGTGATAGCAAAAGAGGTGACAGGTCCTCTTTATGAAGACATCAGGGGTCTCCAAGACCCCTAATGTCACCTAGGACCCCCCTGTAAAAGCTGATATCTGCTTCATCAGCTTCTCTCCAGCATCTGAAGCTGGAGAGTGACACGAGAATGCGGAAGTGATGTAATATACACCACTTCCGCATTCTGACAGCGGAGAGGGGACCGGAGGGAGCTCGTGTACCGAGCTCCCTCTGATCCCCTGTGACAGAGGCTCTATGCTGGTCCCGGGCTCACACCGGAGCCCGGGACCAGCTTGACAGCGGGAGGGGGAGAGCCGCGGAGGGGGGGGCGCACGTCTCGGGAATACAAGCTTCGGATCGCTTGCATATTAACGGGCATCGCTGCGTCTTTTCAAATAGCGGGGATTTCCCGCTAGCGCACGCTGCGCCGTGCGCCCGAGAGGGCGGATGTAAAACGGACGTGTATACACGCCCAGTTACATCCAAGAAGCTCCCGGCCGGCCGTGTATACACAGCGGCTGGCCGGGAGGTAGTTAAGTAAGGACCTTTACCCACAAAACCCAACTTCCTCTTGTGTGCTTCTTTCCCCCTTCCCTCTTACTCAAGGGAAAAGTAAATATAATTTTTTTTAAGGAGTGGTGCAGCCTAGGCGAGGAAGACAGTGATCAGCCACCTGAGATGGGATGTCCACGCCACACATTCCAAGACGCAATGTTGCAGTGAGGGATGAAGTATTATGGGATTAAGATAATTTGTCCCTCAAGGGAACTTCCCCCCCCCCCATACGCATGCATACCTCAGGTCTCTGCCAGCTCATAAACACCTGCATCAGTGCATCTACCCTGTTCCTCTCACTGCACAGCAGTGGCTGTGTGTTTGGCGTGGCTTGCTGGTGTGAACTGACCCTAAATGCTATAGCAGCTTGATGGATCAGGTTCAATGAGTCTGGATGAGAATGAATGAAACTGCAGTGCTCCAAAGCAACACAGACTAGACAGAAAAATCAGGTTCTCTCATATATACAATACCTCGCACAATCTTTTTAACGTCCTCATCCTCGATCTTCTCTGACGCAGCCTGTAATGTCTTGGAAAACGCTGAACTTACTCTCTAAAATTATTAAAAAATAAATGAAAATAGGACATGGACATAACATAGCTCCTTTATGGTTACACTGAATGAAGCCCCAAATTGGAAATAATCATATTACAGTCTAAAAATGTCTTCTACCTTTAGGTAAGGCACTAAGGTTTTAGGCTCACACTTTACAATCCGATTGTACAATCTTCTTTAGATTAACCAAAAACGATGTAGTGCAAAAGCCTGTTGCATTGGATACATATTAATTGGTTAGATCAGGTGGAACTTTTGGTAAATCTAAAGACTGTATGGTCGCCCAGATTGTAATGCATCTGGTGACCCTTAGACTACATCCCCCAGCCTGCTCTGTTGTCCGGGACTTCTCACAATCCAGAGTTGCCCGTACCTGGTCTAGATATACGTTGAATGTCAATACCTGTATCTCCTCTCCTCTCATTCCATCTAGAAGGTAGCGGAGAAGCTCCTGGCTGTCTTGCTGCTGGTACCCTCTAAATCGGACGGCTCTGGAAAGAAAAGCAATGCAGACATTACTCATACATATGGCTAAGCAGAAACCACCGGCAAACATTGCAGCAGATGCAAAGCAGTGAGAAGTTTATCTAAACTGACGTCACAAAGAATAACATGTCAAACCCTTGGGCTGCATTGACACGAGCCACCAGACATTGGTTTATCTAAAGCAAGAGAAATTATCTGGGAAGTATCACCAAACTTTATACCCCCCCCAGATCAAGTTCTCCTGCTTTTAAAGTGATATTAAAGTCAAAAGATTTCAAATGCTGATGAAATCACTTACAATGGATGCTGCTCCTTGATGTTTAAAAGTTTTAGCTAACCTGCAGAATCAGCTGGTCCCCTGAGGACTGGTCCCGATATCCTGTTTTAGTGTGAATCCTTTTCCCTTGCAGGGTCCTATGGAGCCACCCTTGTGTGTGCTAGTAGGCTGTGTGCGTCTCCACAAACACACAGATACAGCAAAACAAGCCACTTCCCTGATCTCTGTTTCCTGCCCCTCCCTTCCCTGCTTCTTCCTTTTCCAATCTAGTAGATGGACAGCTGGTGGAGACTGGGCTCTCCCTTGTTTTCTTGTACTGGACAGGAAGTTCAGGGAAGCTGAGCTGAGAGAGTTGGAGCTGTTTGGAAACATGATGACTGGAAATGCTTGGGCAAAAATGTAAAGAAATACTTTGCTGGGCAATGTATATTTGTCTGACCTGGATTCATTATTGAAAAAAGGTTGAGTTGAATACTACTTTAAAGGATCATGCACACGCCCAATATGTCGACTAATATGCTGGCAGTAAAAAGAGCTCTGTACGCATGTAGAGTTTGTGCAACGATAACATGCATTCAAAGTATAACACAAAGGTGACTTAGGTGGTTCATGCCCCAGGAATGATGGATGCTTGGTGACCTGAGCCTCCTGAAAACGCTGCATTTTTTTGGGTTGTGTGCATGAGCCCTAAATAGACTAGATATTCCATACAACCTTCCCTCGGGAGCACAGAATTCTATTTTCTCTAAAATGCAACTAACCTGGACACACCTAAACACAAGTAAACGCACTGTGAATTACACCAATCATTTCATGCATTTATATACATTTAGAAATGTCTTATAAAAGCATATAAACACATATCTGCCACAGTCAGTGAGGCCTAAAGGATAGAACATTTAAATATTATTATTACTACAGGTATTTATATGGAGCTGACAATTTACACAGTGCTTTACATAGCTGCACATTCAAGCTATTCTTCCCAATGACACCAACAATGGGCACTATTCTTCCCCCCACTAACAACTAGGTCATTATTTTATTTCCTTTCATTTCCATTGATGCGGGGGCATTTTTTGATCCAACAGTCCGGCCCACCTATCATCTGAATGACAGTAAAATTACCCTTTGAGGACCCCTGATTTACACAAACTGGAGGAAACACTGCGGTGTCATTAGATTGGAGAAACTTCCTGCTTGCAACTCCTCTCCAAATAATGATTATGCGTTAGACTCAAACCAAACGGACTTCCCCCTAGAATCTAGATATCGTACACACAACATCATGAATTTGTTGGATTCTTAATACTCTTCAATAGCATGCGTTACACTCTGGGCACATACTCACTTTTTACAGACCTGAGAGAAGAGCTCTTTCGGGGTTACAACCCCTTTCTTAGTCTCCTGCATCTCAGTAAGAAACTGCCACATTGCCAAGGTCAGGGGTCCCGGCTGCTGCTCCAGTGTCACTTCCCGAGGTGTCTGAAATAAATGTATCATACAGAACTAAAGGAAACATCCATCTTTAAAATGTATGTAAAGCCATTTTTTTGGTTTTGGATAGACCCGTCAGGTTTTATTGCTGTGTCCCCACTGGGGACCATTATGACTGAGACAGAAACTGGTTTATTTATTAAGCCATACACCAAGTGGATGTCATTTGCATGGGACTAATGCCTCTAAATGGAACGGAGCAGCGTAGAAAATTCCTATACTCCTTATCTCCATCTAGGGGCACTAGTGCCGTGCAAACGGCATCCGCCCAGCCATATGAAACAGTGCAGGAATCCAGAGGGGTGCAGCAAAGAATCCCATAAACGTAACGAAGGAAGATCAGGAAATCACCAGCACTCAGTAATAAAGATAAATATGTCCCTTTTATTGGACAATAAGCGTCACAGACATCCAAATAAACCGATGTTTCGGGGGCCGCGCAGGGTCCCTTCCTCAAGGCAGAAAGATGTGAGGTCTTCCTGTGTTTGCACGGCGCCATCCGTGGCAATACATCACTGCGAGCACCACCTTTTCTCATCTGGCCGGGACTGCTGTGAGGAGTGCCGAGGGTTTCTCCATCGACTTACATAAACGTAACTAATTCATCAGGATCATACAGGTAATGTCACATTAAAAAAAAGCAAACTTATATTGTGGAGGTGACAGGTACTCTTAATACACTTACAAGCCGGGAGTCATCTGGCACTTGGACAGTTACAGTTCTTCCTGGATGTTTGACATCATTCAGAAGTTCCCGCAGTGTTGGTGTCTGGGACAAATTCTGGAAGCAGATGATGGAAGACAGTCTATAAGTATTTTTGCTATGCGCTCACCTTTGGTCATGTGACAGATACGACGCTCACATGCTGACCTGCATCACAGCATTAAAGAAGCACGTGTTCCCCAGGTTGCTGAGCCCTTTCACAGTGACCTCTTTATTGTCATTTAGTGTGTTGACAGCTTTTGCGCCCTTCGCAACCCTGTTGGGGTCTTCTACCACCTGATGTTCTTCCTTCTCCTGCTTGTTTTCAGAAATACGATCATCTTGGCCAGACTGAACTATTTCAAGAAGCAAACAATTTTATGTAACAGCTCCAGCGGGATTCAGACCCAGTAAAACAGAATCTGGTAACAGTCATGTCACAATCAAGACATTGGGCCCACCTTCAATGGTTAAGACTGGGAATAAATACAAACCTGTGTTTGAAATCTTTACATTCGTCTTGGATTTCTTTTGGATAAAATCCACCAATTGCCGCAACCGCCCAGAGCTGCTGTACTGAATCTCCTCATCACAAAGATAGCACCTGTCATCGTACACACAAGGAAATCAACATTCATGAATAAGCATGCCATTGCAATGTGTATGATTTCTGTATTATTTGTATACATGCTCACATACGGACATCAACGTTAGAGTGAGATTGACATTTACTCAAGACTGCAATACAAAACCTTGCTGTAAACTCCCTTTTTAGGGTTTTAAAGAAAGGTTTACACAGGCTGCTGGGGGGGGGTTGGGGGGGGGGGGGAAAAAAAAGGAGGTCGGGAATGGGT